GTAGAGACAGGGTTTCTCCGTGTTGGCCAGGCTAGTCTCGAACTCTTGATCTCAAGTGATCCACCTTCCTCAGCTTCCCAAAGTGCTGGGATTACAGCCGTAAGCCACTGTGCCTGGCCTCTTTTTCAGCTTGAAGCATGCCTCTTTTAATTCTTGATAGAAGAGAGATAACTAGCATACCTTAAATTCAATGATGAATTGAGCCTTTGTAGGCTCAGGTTTGCCAACTTGTTGAGGTTTACTTTAACAGCAATATGTTCTGATGTCCCCTTTTCCCAGAATCTGACATTATTGATACCATAGTGCTTTAATGTATCATTATAATAGTATCAATAAAAATTATATTTACCAAGGGAAAAGTAGGTTAGTCCTGTACTAGAGGTCAGTGAAGAAGTAGAGGTTGGGTTAGGAATCATCCCACAGTGTAATTGAAGACTCTGAGGTCTTTATTACATTACTGTCAGGATCTAGGAAATCTGTTTTTTAATGTTTTCTGTGTATATAATATGGACAAGCCTGTAACATTGTATATTCCAAGACTTACAAGGGTCTTAACCCTGGATCCATGGAATGTGGTTTCAGGGTAGAGTCTATGAGCTTCAGGAATCACATGTAAAGATTAGTGTGAATATTCATATGTACATTTTTCCTGGAAGATAATCTATGACTTTTGTTGGTACCTCAAAGGGGCCACTGACCCCTAGAAAGGTTAGGAACTACCATGTAGAGATTCCATGGCCATTTTCCATCTTTCGGTAAGCCATTTTCTTTTTTTTTTCTGAGATGGAGTCTTGCTTTGTTGCCCAGGCTAGAGTACAATGGCGCAATTTCAGCTCACTGCAACCTCTGCTTCCGGGGTTCAAGTGATTCTCTTGCCTCAGCCTCCTTAGTAGCTGGGATTACAGGCACCCGCCACCATGCCTGGCTAATTTTTATATTTTTAGTGGAGAGGAGGTTTTGCCATGTTGGCCAGGCTGGTTTTGAACTCCTGACCTCAAGTGATCTGCCTGCCTTGGCCTTCCAAACTGCTGGGACTACAGGCATGAGCCACCACACCTGTCCAGGGAAACCATTTTCTTTCCTATTGTTCTGATTTACATTGTCTTGCTATGTTCTCCTACCAACTTAGCATTTGGGCTATAAATAACGATTACCTCTGCCCCAGAAATACATTGATTGCTTTAAAGAATGATTCTTAACAGAAGGTGTACATCAGATTCAATTGAGAGTGTTCCAACAAAATTATATTGCCTTCATCCTCCTCCTTCCTGCAAGCTACACCTTTACACTAAACCTATAGAATTAGGATCTCTGGAGTTGAAAACTGGAAATTAATATTTAAAAAAATTTTTATGATTTTGATTATGAACCACTTGGCTAAAGTATTCATATGCTTCCAAAGTAGGAATTAGAGGCCATGGAAACTTGGAATTGGGATGGGAGTGTATTTGTGAAAGAACCAGATGAAGTTGGTCTTAGTACTGTCTCCTAAAGTCTTACATGTACCTTATGGTTACTCTTAGAGTATACATTAGGCCAGGGTGACAGTTCCTGAGCTAAGCAAACTTAGGAGTCTCTGCTTAACTTAGGAAGAATTTCAGAGACATGAGTAGCATAGGCCAACCATTCTAGCATTTGAACTATCTGCATAGGGTGGAGCCTACTCTTCCAGCTTCTCTGACTTGATCTCTTGACTTTGCTTTACAGACAGCAGTGGCCCTTCTAGCACTGTGTCCAGCGCTGGTCCTTCTTCCCCTACTACAGTAGATGGTAACTCCCAGTTTGGCTTCAGTGATCAACCCTCCCTAAATTCACACGTGACTGAAGAACGTCAAGGCCTTGGGCTGCTCCAGGAGACCCCTGGGAATGGAGCACAAGAGCTCTCCATAGAAGGGGAACAAGAGCTTTTTGAACCAAATCAGTCCTCACAGGTACCACCTGTGGAAACCAGCCAGCCATACAACAAGGAGGTGGCTGAGGAGGTCATTCAGCCATGTCAGGAGGTCCCTGACATCAGCCAGCCATGCCAGAACATTTCTGAGGAGCTCAGCCAGCCATGTCAGGAGGTCCCTGACATCAGCCAGCAATGCCAGGAGCACCATGACAATGGTAACCACACATGCCAGGAGGTCCCTCAGATCAGCCAGCCATGCCAGACGGCCAGTCAACTGTGCCAGAAAGTCTCTGAGGAAGTTTGCCAGCTGTGTCTGGAGAACCCTGAGGAGGTCAGCCAGCCATGCCAGGGGGTCTCTGTGCAGGTTGACAAGCTGGTCCATAGGTTCCATGTAGGCGCTGGTGGCTTGGTTCAGGAAACCCTTATAGAAGTTGGCAGGCCAGCTGAAGAGATCCCTGAGGAGGTCAGCCAGCCGTACCCGGAGTTCTCTGTGGAGGTTGGCAGGCTGGCCCAGGAGACTTCTGCATTCAATCTGTTGTCTCAGGGCATTCCTGAGATTGATAAACCATCCCAAGAGTTCCCTAAGGAGATTGATCTGCAGGCCCAGGAGGTCCCTGAGGAGATAAATTAGAAGTCCTGGGTGGTTCCTGAGGTGGTTGATCAGCTGCCTGGAGAGGGTATTCCTCAAGCCCAGAATCCATCTGGTGATCCAAACACTCAGAGGCAGTCTCTAGCCCATGACCAGCACTCACCCTTTCCACCAGCAACATGTAATTAATTTTCTCATTAGTGGTGTCACACTATACCAGCCATTTGAGCCAGCAACCTTTTCTCTTGGCTAACTCGCTGGCCGGCTCTCACCAGCAGTGTCTGGGGAAGCAGTTCCCTTGGTATGAAGCGTACCTGTGCTAGAGCTGTGCTTGAGGAGGAGCCAGTTTTAGGTTCAAAGAAGCCATTGGCTCTTCACTTAGCCATTAGACTTGAATAGGATTTCCTTGGGGTGGGTTGGTCTGTCGTTACCCAGCCTTCTCTGAGCATCCTAGGATATCACAGATTGTTAAAGGAAATGCTGCTTCATTGCTGAAGACACCATCTGGGGATAGCAAATGCAAAAGAGGGGACTCTAGGGTCTTCACTTTTCTGGGAAAACATTCATGACTTCTCAAGGTACCCTTAGACCATATGTGCATTCAGGGGATTCTTGTCTTTGCCAGCACTCCTCAGGTGAGCCAGGATGGCCATCTGAAATGTCTGGAAAATAGAGTCCCCTCGGCTGGGCGCGGTGGCTCAAGCCTGTAATCCCAGCACTTTGGGAGGCCGAGGCGGGTGGATCACGAGGTCAAGAGATCGAGACCATCCTGGTCAACATGGTGAAATCCCGTCTCTACTAAAAATACAAAAAATTAGCTGGGCATGGTGGTGTGTGCCTGTAATCCCAGCTACTCAGGAGGCTGAGGCAGGAGAATTGCCTGAACC